CGGGGGCAAAGTTGCGCACCCCCGCCTCTTTTTTTTTTTTTTTGCTTAACAACTTTGGTGAGGGTGGGAGGTCACACAAATTCATATAGCATTTTAGGGGGTTGCCGTATCACAAAGTTTGAGAACCTCTGACCTAAGGAATATTGCAGAAAGGGATTTAGGGATCACAGTGGACCAGAGTCAACAGTGTGACACTTAAAAAATCATTTGGGGATTTATTAATGGGGGTGTCGTAAGCAAGACACAGGAAATAATTCTGAGGCTCTACTTCATATGCTTTAGTCCTTAATTGGAGTATTGTGTCCTGTTCTGGGTTCCATATTTTGGGAAAAATGTGGAGAAATTGGAGAGGGTTGCTTCAGAAAAGAGCAATAAAAATAATTAAAGGTCTAGAAAACATGATCTATGAGGCAAGATTGAAAGAACTGGGTCTGTTTAGTCTGGAAAAGAGAAAACAGAGGAGACGTGATAAGAGCTTTCAAGTACTTAATAGATCGGTACAAGAAGGAAGGAGAAAACGTATTCTTCTTAACCTTTGATGATAGGACAAGAAGCAATAGGCTTAAATTGCAGCAAAGGAGGTTTAGGTTGGACAAGAGGAAAATCTTCCTGTCAGGATGGCTAACCACTGGAATAAACTGTCTATGGAGGATAGGGAATCTCCATTATTGGATATTTTTAAGAAGAGGTTAGACAAACACATCTCGGAGATGGTCAAGAAATCTAGATGGTGCTTGTTCCTGCCATGAGTGCAGGGGACTGGACTTGATGACCTCTTGTTGTTCCGTCCAGTTCTATGATTCTAGCATGGAAGAAAATAGTAGCTCGTGGACTAAGAAGGTATGGCCTACTTGGACCTTGAATCTTGATTTATGAACTAGTTCTTGGTTGAGTACAACAACAGCCATGAAGATCCCATTATTGGCTATCTCAGGATCCTTAATAAATTTAACATTTCTTCTCTTCATTTAATATAAAAATTTTGCCTTTGTAAAAAAATATATTTCACCTCTACTATGCTGTAAAAGTAGGGGGGTACTGTGTACTATTCATATAAACCATTTTATTTTATTTTATTTTGCAGACATGGAGAAGTACACAGAACTACATGAGTATATAAAGTTGCAGACAAGATTTCTGACATTAAGCTTCATATATTACAATATCTGGTCATGTAATTAAGGACAGTTTCATAGATACACATAAAGAAGCAATGTTAAGGGATCATAACTTAAGGAGGGCATTCTTCTTGGACTTCTACTATTTTTCCAGCTCAAATGGAGCCAGGGACTACTCAGGATTAAAAGTTTCCCAGAAATCAATCTTTAAAATGTTTTAAGAAATGATTCACTTTGCTCTGCACTTTCCTTGACCCATGTGCCCTCACTCTTTTCATATTCAGTCATTCCTGTTCTGCAGAGAATCTGAGATATCCATGCTGTGTTGGAGAGAAAAGATTCACGCATGTGGGGGACCCTCCAAGTGTAACTGTTGGAGATAATTAGATGCTAAGTACATGGCAAATAAAATTAAGAATGGTAAAATAAAACATGTTAAGCCAATGAATAAGGACATTTCCTACCCACCCTGTGCCTTCTTTAAACATACTACTCCTCCCCCCATGCCCAAAAAGGATGACTGACCAGTGGGGTTGTTAATGTGTATCCGACTACAGGCAACCCCCGTACTTACGACCTAACTGGTTCTTGGAGAACTGTCATAAGTCAAGCTGTCATAAGTCAAACCCTTATTTCCCATAGGCACAATGTTATAAATGGCGGTTCCATTCCTGGAAACCCATTTCATACCCTAAAAATACCAAAATTGATTATAGAAATTGAGAAAACTAAACTCAATAGTTCAAATAACGCACAAAAATAACTAAACAGTGAAGACCAATGTGGTGGAGACACGCACAGTTCAAGTAGCAGCTGCAGACTGGCGAGTCTGACTGACTTGTAAGTTTCCTGTTTTGGGATGATGTATGGCATCTGCATCGTATGCCATCATAAATGCGAGCTGCAGACGTAAATTGGGGGGTTTTAGGAGCTATCTATCATGAAAAAAATGGTTGTCAATGCGGGCGGGAGGGGATCGTAAGTCGGATGGTAATAAGTCAGGGGTCGCCTGTATATGGTTAACTGAAATGCCTGGGCTCATCAGTTAACCCTCACAGTTACATGCACATCTCCCTACTGCCTCTGTATCAGAGGCAGGCGGGCGGGGGAAGAGGCAGGAGCCAGTGCCCTGCTCCCTCCCCCTTTCCCCTGGCATGTAAATGTGTAACCGCTGAACGTTTCCCCCCAAGGAATAATTGAATAAGAAAGTTTACTTGCTCACATACATGGTAGTTTTTATTCTGGCAAATCTTCTAGTTTTCAGGCTTTTGCTTGGAAAGTAAAAGTCAAGACAAAGATTCAGTGAATATATACTATAGACAAGATAATGAGGTAACAATGAGATAGAAAATATAGGGAGACTACTTCAAAAAGAAAGTTCTTGGGACACAGGTAAAGACTTCTTATCTCATAAGCACTCAACACCTGTGAGACTTACATTCTGTCACGCAGCACAGAAAAAGGGCTTATTTATTTATTTTTTTATATGGTTGCTATTCATAAAGTCAATTAGGCATCGCAATTAGAACCCCTATAAAGTGTGCTTTAATCCTACTCCACACCCATCGGAAGGAATGAGGCTGCACAACAATGTGTCTCCTGTATGAACAGGTAGTCTGTTCACCAATGTATTTAAGATTGTAACATTGGCAACCTGAGCCACCGACTGAGGAGGCAGTGCTCAAAAGGCCAAGTACTATGCTACAAGAAACACTATCTCTGCTCTCACCTGAATACAGGAAGAAATGAACTGGTTACTTAAAGGTTTTTTTGAAGTCAAATAACTACAATAAGGAGGCAGGAATCCAGTTTGTTACATTTATCTGAGAGAGTAGAATTACTAATGTTACCCATAATCTCCTTCTTTTTGTCTTCTAGAGAACCAGGAATCTTTGACCACACTAATATGCTTGTGTTTCCAAAAAAGTTTTATGTTTCCAGTATTCAACATACAGCAAACCAAATATTTGTCTAACGTGGAAAAAATGCCTCATTTTCCACTTTGGAGAATAGATCAATTTAGAGCCATTTAATCACAACCACAAAGTTTCTCCTTTGTAAAGCCGGTAGATATTTGGTGCAGGGGATTTATTGCTGGGATGTTAGGCTTTCATTCTTAAAAGGTGCAATATATAGATGACTTAAATATTTATTAAGCTCTTCATAGGTTTAAATTATTTTTAAAATCTAAATATATAAATATCTACCTCCCAACATTTAAAAGTGAATTACAGTAAAACTCCATTAGTCCGGCATCCAATGCTCTGGGACTCCTGATGGTCCGGCACCATCAGGAACCCGGAATTTCTGGGGCAGCCGGACAGGCTTCCCCCATTCAGCTGCTGCTGAAACTGACCAGAAGTGGATCGGGGAAGCCGGGAGCAGAGCAGCTGGGGTGCTGCCGGGTTGGTCTCGTAGCGCTGCCCCTCAGGGCTGTGGGACCAACCCGGCAGCACCCCAGCTGCTCTTGGGGATGCCTGGGGCAGGGCAGCTGAAGTGCTGCCGGTTGGTCCCACAGGCCCAAGGGGCAGCGCTATGGGACCTACCGGGCAGCACTCCAACTGCTCTGCCCCCAGCTTCCCCAATTCAGCCGCTGGCT